TGTGACCCCTGGCCTGTTGTGTAGTATATGTGTGACCCCTGTTGTGAAGTCGATATATGACCCCTGTTGTGTAGTATATATGTGACCCCTGGCCTGTTGTGTAGTATATGTGTGACCCCTGTTGTGTAGTATATGTGTGACCCCTGGCCTGTTGTGTAGTATATGTGTGATCCCTGTTGTGTAGTGTATGTGTGATCCCTGTTGTGTAGTATAAGTGTGATCCCTGTTGTGTAGTGTATGTGTGACCCCTGGCCTGTTGTGTAGTGTATGTGTGATCCCTGTTGTGTAGTGTATGTGTGACCCCTGTTGTGTAGTGTATGTGTGATCCCTGTTGTGTAGTATATGTGTGACCCCTGTTGTGTAGTATATGTGTGACCCCTGGCCTGTTGTGTAGTGTATATTGTACATGCTATACCTGCACCACTTTATTGAAAAGAAACTAATTTTGACACATGCTGCATTGATATTTAAAGTCATGTTTGTAGCCCTTCCAATCGGTTGATTTATTTCTTTTTTAAAATTGAACGAGAATCAGAAGTTTTCAAATGCTCTCTTATTCAGAAAATGTACTTAATGTAGGCATAACTTCAAAGTATGAATTTAAATGAATTATATCTCAATTTCAAGAAAAGACAATTTTCAGTCTTCTCATTCACTTGACTGGGTCTGTAAATGCCCTATGAGGGTTACCAGTAAAACTGAGGTTATTAGAAAAGCTTGTAACATGTTATGTGTTAAATCCCTAATCTGCTTTGTGGTGTGTGTATATATATACTAACTTAGTGATCTGCCTCAATACCACAGTGAATATAGCACCACTCACAGTCAGATTCAGCTCGCAAGTGGTGTGTCTCGCATGAACAATGTGGTAGTTAATAGACGCTTGCACAATAGCACCAGGTAAAAGTTTCATTCACCTGTCACAGACGGGGGGCAGACTGAGGGGCAGACTGAGGGGCTAACCAAGGCACACCTTAAAGGGAGCACAGAGGAAATGAGGATAGTAACAAAGGGAGGATAACTGAAGGGATGGAGAGAGTATAATATATGAGTAGATATTGACAAAAAGAAGAGGAGAATACCCTAAGGAGGAATAGGATGGGGTGGGGGTTATAGAGAAGACAACTGAATGACCAGGG